CGCCGACACGGGCTCACCCGGCGGGCGGAACCACCGCAGGCCCCTCCGCTCCTGGTGCCTCGGCGGCCCTTCCTGTGAGCCCGGCCGCTCCTGCTAAAGCGTCGTGCCTGGACCCTGGTCTGAAATTTGCCAGATGTTTTCAGAGGAGTATTTCTATTTGATAGTAACTGTCACTTGCTGAGTGCCATCTGTGTGCATGTGGTCCTCACCGCAGTTCTGCAAGGTGGTAGTTTTGCATGTGACAAATCTGAGACCGGAGGATGTAAAAAACTTTCCCAGCCTCGAAGCTGGTGAGCAACTAAGTTCAAATTCAAACCCATCTCCGTCTAAGGTCGCTCTGCTTTTTCTACTGTGCCACGTAACCTGCACAGTGTTAATTTCCAGAAGCGAGATGTTTTGGAAAATAAATGGTTGACATTAAGAACGCATGTTAATAGCATAAGGTCTGGACTAAGTAATAGCTCAGTAAGTGACGGAGGCGAGGTCATGGGGACCTGTAGAGGCTGCCAGTTTGACATTTAGAAGTGCTGCCTCCTTTTCGGGGTGGGGGGGGGGAGGAGGGGGGTGTACAGAACATGGAGCCAGTGCCATGACCGTGCCTCCACCCCTCCTCTGCACCGTGTGCGCGTTTGTATTCCTGGGAGGGCTGTTCCAGAGGGGCCCTGGTGTAAAGGGCACAACTTGAGAGAATGAGGAGATGAGTTCCATTCAGTGGAGGTGCATTCCAAAGTCAACAGGGAGGACGGGCACTTTTTCAATAGAAACAGCAGTGCCCGTGGTGTCTTTTGAAATGGGCTGCATCCTGGGTTAAGCAGCCGTTATGGACAGTGAGGGAAGTAGTGAACTGCAGGGCCAGGTCTGGATTTATACCGACTCAGTTAGGTAACAACTACATGAACTGGGACAAGTTATTGAATTTCTGTAGATGTCAATTTCCTTAGATCCCTACTGTTTAGTATTGTGAGAGTTGAATGAGATGAGGAAACAGGCTGTTAACTCATGGAACAGCAAAAAAAGTAGAGTGCAGTTTTGAGCTGGGGTGTAGGGACCCCACGGCCTTTGCACTGGTGCCCTCCCTGTGTGCTCATCACTTCATGTTGAGAAGCTAGACATGCCCAGGGTCACCTGCATCTCCTGAGTGGGTTTCTTGATTATATAAATGGCCCAAAATGCTGTTTTGTGGTAGGAATCGCTATACCTTGTGAGACATTTCAACGCTACTACAAGTAGGAAGAATTTCATTATAGAACTAGAAGCCCGATGCACAAAATTCATGCAAGGGGCTCAGCTCTCGCAGCCCTGGCTTTGCCCGGAAGGTAGTCCAGCTGTCCAGTCTAATTAGCATATTATACTTTTATTGTTTTAGATGAGTAGAGCTCACAGTTATATATACTCTGTTGGGTTAATTTTAATTATTTGGTTATGATTTCAAAATCCATTTTTTGGTGTTTGATGGTACATATTTTCTTTTATAGCATATCAGAGTTATCCTTAGATTCAACCCTCCATGCCATCAATCTGCATTGTAACAACATCTCAAAGATCGAAGCCATTGACCATGTCTGGAATTTACAACATTTAGATTTGTCATCTAATCAAATCAGTCAAATCGAAGGGCTAAGCACACTGACAAAACTACGCACTTTAAATTTGTCCAGCAATTTGATCACAAAAATAGAAGGTGTGTAAGTGATTTTCATGTAATACTTTGAGTAAGGAAGATGACTTAAGTCCATTTTTTTCCTTCACAGAAGAATGGGATTAATAGTAAACTTTTGAAAACTGACCCTAAAATTTATTATATAAAAATTTTTCTCCTAGAAAAGTATTTAGCCTTTTTCAAGTATTTTATGAAATACCAACAAAATTGATTTTACCTTTATTTAATTCGACTGTAGATTTGCTTCAAAAAGTCTGAAATGGTATTGCAGTACTATATAGCTTTAATAAATTGATTATTGAATCCTGTAAAAGCTTTATTTTATTTTATTTTAGGACTTGAAGCACTAATTAATCTGACTAGACTGAATTTATCCTATAACCACATAAATGATTTAAGTGGTAAGTAGATGTGCTTTATATATATAGACTAGAGGCCCGGTGCACAAGGCCAGCCTGGATGAGGGGATGATGGCTGTTTGCAGCTGGTCACACCCCCTTCAGGGTGGGGGTCCCCACTGGGGTGCCTGGCCAGCCTGGATGAGGGGATGATGGCTGTTTGCAGCTGGTCACACCCCCTTCAGGGTGGGGGTCCCCACTGGGGTGCCTGGCCAGCCTGGATGAGGGGATGATGGCTGTTTGCAGCTGGTCACACCCCCTTCAGGGTGGGGGTCCCCACTGGGGTGCCTGGCCAGCCTGGATGAGGGGATGATGGCTGTTTGCAGCTGGTCACACCCCCTTCAGGGTGGGGGTCCCCACTGGGGTGCCTGGCCAGCCTGGATGAGGGGATGATGGCTGTTTGCAGCTGGTCACACCCCCTTCAGGGTGGGGGTCCCCACTGGGGTGCCTGGCCAGCCTGGATGAGGGGATGATGGCTGTTTGCAGCTGGTCACACCCCCTTCAGGGTGGGGGTCCCCACTGGGGTGCCTGGCCAGCCTGGATGAGGGGATGATGGCTGTTTGCAGCTGGTCACACACCCTTCAGGGTGGGGGTCCCCACTGGGGTGCCTGGCCAGCCTGGATGAGGGGATGATGGCTGTTTGCAGCTGGTCACACACCCTTCAGGGTGGGGGTCCCCACTGGGGTGCCTGGCCAGCCTGGATGAGGGGATGATGGCTGTTTGCAGCTGGTCACACACCCTTCAGGGTGGGGGTCCCCACTGGGGTGCCTGGCCAGCCTGGATGAGGGGATGATGGCTGTTTGCAGCTGGTCACACACCCTTCAGGGTGGGGGTCCCCACTGGGGTGCCTGGCCAGCCTGGATGAGGGGATGATGGCTGTTTGCAGCTGGTCACACACCCTTCAGGGTGGGGGTCCCCACTGGGGTGCCTGGCCAGCCTGGATGAGGGGATGATGGCTGTTTGCAGCTGGTCACACACCCTTCAGGGTGGGGGTCCCCACTGGGGTGCCTGGCCAGCCTGGATGAGGGGATGATGGCTGTTTGCAGCTGGTCACACACCCTTCAGGGTGGGGGTCCCCACTGGGGTGCCTGGCCAGTCTGGGTGAGGGGCTGAGGGCTGCTTTCAGGCTGGCGGTTGTTGACTGAAGCTCCCAACCGCTCCTTTTTTTTCTCTTTTTTTATTTTATTCTGGGCCAGCTTTAGCTCTGGCTCTAGCTCTGAGGCTTCGTATCTGGTTTGTTTGCCGTTCTATAATCGAAACAATGTATAACTTCAGCTCTGAGATCCCGGCAGGCTGAAAGCTGGTTTCTAGGGTTTTGTTTAGCTTCTTATTTGCAACATAGTACATAGTTGCTTAGAGTTGCAACTCAGAGGCTGGCAAGTGAGGCGGGGAACGTTGGAGTCTGCAGTCACTGAAGCAAGCAAGCCTCATGTTCGCTTCCAGCTGCCTGGCTGCCGGCCGCCATCTTGGCTGACAGTTAATTTGCATAAGGATATGCTGATTAGCCAATGGGAAGGGTAGCGGTCGTACGCTAATTACCATGTTTCTCTTTTATTAGTGTAGAAGCCTAAGCGACTGTTAGAAGTGGTTGACAGGTTGCTATGACGTGCATTGACCACCAGGGGCCTGACACTCAATGCTGGAGCTTCCCCCTGGTGGTCAGTGCACTCCCACAGCCAACCTCCCATGGCCGGCCAACCTCACGCAGTCCCTCCCCCAGCCGGATGGCCCTGATTGGCCCCCATCAGGGCCAGCTGGTAACATCCTACGGTCCCTACCCTCTGCCAGCCGGCCCCGATAGGCCCAATCAGGACTGGGTGATGGGCAAGACGGCCCCGATTGCCGGCCAGGCCGAGGAACCCCACCCGTGCACGAATTCATGCACCGGGCCTCTAGTTTTTCTATAATGCTGAATATTTGCTATGTGTGGTGAGTTAGAATGAGCTCAGCATGTCAGAAAGCTGAATAATACAATTTTTTACCAAAAATCTCATCTAGAGAATGTGTTGGTACCAAAGCTATCACTGAATGAAGAATTGGGATTAAAACTAGGGTGGTCTGTAACAGGACAAACTTGGATAGAAGGACCTCTTTTGGGGGACATGGTATTTTAATGTTAGATAATTAATGAATATACTGTTCTAGAGAGGAAGAATTCCAATAGAACTTCTTACAGTGATAAAAACATTCTACGTTTGCGCTGCCTGTCATAGCACCCAGTGTGCCATGCGAGCATTTGAAATGTGCCTAGTGCACCGAGGAACTGGATTTGTCATTTTATTTACTTTCAGTCAAACTTAAGTTTAAATTACAAAGCCACCTGAGGCCGTCCTACCAGATTGGACAGTATGAGTGTAAAGCATCCCAAAGGCCATTACAAATTGAAGGTCAAATACATGTTTTTTCTTTTTTACTTCAGTATGTCTAAAAAGGCAAAAAATTACCTACTTTTTAACTGATTAAAGTGATACACTGATAAAGCGAAAAAAAGTTTCATAATTATTCATCAAATTATTGGATTCTCTATCTTCATAAACTCAATCGATATTTGAAACAGCCTTATTCATTCATTGGTTTTCTCCCCTACTAGAAAAATACTACCCTACGCCAGGTGTTTAGTATACAAAAAAAAGAAATGATCTAGTCTCTACCCTTAAGCTGAAGTAGCAGCAGTATTTTAAATTTTCCCCCCAAAGATGTGAAAGTATTAGGTTTGAGTATGGGCTGTAGGTCTGTCACTGTTGTGCGCTGTTGAGCAAAGTCTGTCACTTTTTGGATGCAGTTTCCTTATCTGAAAAATATGAATCTTAGATAAGAGTAATTTACTTATCAACAAATATTTATTAAAGAGCACCTGTGGACAGATAGAGTTCTTTTTTTATGATTTTTATTGATTTTTAGAGAGAGAGGAAGGGAGAAGGCTAGAGAAATGGAAACATCAATGAGAGAGAGACATCCATCAGCTGCCTTGATCAAGCCCATAGTCAGGGCATGTGCCCTGACCAGGAGGAATTGAACCATGACCTCCTGGTTCATGGGTCAACCCTCAGCCACAGAGCCATACCAGCCAGGCTGGACAGATAAAGTTCTTGTAGGAAATGATTATGGAGCATCTAGAATTTACATCCATTACTGGTAGAATTCAAAGTAGTATAAGGATTTTGGAAAACAGTTTGAAGGTTTCTTATAAGGTTACATGTACATTTATATGCAATCCCACTCTAGGCATTTACCAAAGAGAAATGAAAATATGTCTAATCAGAGACCTGTACATGAGTGTTTGTATGTTTATATAGCTTTTCATATAATCAGGTTTCTGTGATTATCTGTAATCTCTAAAAACTGGAAACCACTCAGTTACCTGTCACCTGGTAAACAGAAATTGTGATGCAGCCACAAGATGGAATACTAAGGCCATAAAAAGGAACGAGCTATTGATACATGCTGCAGCATGGATGAATCTAAAAAAGAATTGTGCTAAGTGAAAGCATTCACAAAAGGCTACCCTGTATGAATCCAATATGTGCCATTCTAACAAAGGCAAAGTTATAGGGGCAGAAAACAGATCATCAGTCGCCAGGGCTTGAACATGGGGAGAGAAAATTGCCTACATAGGGACACACTGATTGGGGTGGTGGAAATAAATGTTCTATATCTTAGTCATGGTTAAAAAAACTATATGTTGGTCAAAGCACATGGAACTTCACACCTAAGAAGTGTGAATTTTAGTGACTGTCTGAGAGAAGGAATATGAAGAAAATGTCATAGGCAACCCTGGAAGTTCTAATAGCTAATTCTTAGAATGATGTATTTTATTCAGAAACACCTCGCTAGAGAGCAGAGCGCGGCAGTGTGTGTGCTAGAGCATGTGGCACACTAGGGCTCAAGCGAGCGAGTTGGACCTCGGAGCAGAGGAAGGAAGTGTGGCTGGAGCACAGCAAATGGGGTTCGTGTGCAGAAGAGAGATGAGCAAGCAGGCAAAGGATGACGTTTGCATGTTGTCGTAGGTACAACAGGGGCCATGGGAGGGCTTTAAACAAGTGACGTCGCGCATGTGTTAAGGATCACTTGGGCTGAATGAGGAGGGTGGGTGTTAGGACAGGAGTGGGAGTCAGTGGGAAGCTGCTCCAGGTGTCCAGAGAAGAGGGTGAGACCTGGACTGGGTGGAGACGGGAGATGGCTAAATGCGTTTTACACGTGGAGGTCATAGGCCTTGCTGATGGGTGCGATGAGGGCATGGAGGAGAAAGAAATCCCGGATGATGAACACGAGTTTTCCCTGAAGTAACAGGCAGATGATGGTATTGCTTCCTGATGTGTGATGATTAGGGAGGAGCAGGTTTGAGATGGGGTGAGACGTGTATGTGTGTGTGTGTGTGTGTGTGTGTGTGTGTGTACGTGCGCGCGTGCGCACGCACGTGCACGTATGTGAGTAATCGGGTTAGAGCTGAGATCTGGCACATTCGTGGTGTTTGTAATCATGACACTGCGGAAGGTCCTGGAGAGCCTGTGGATGGAGGAGGGACACTAGGGGACAGCCAGTGACAAGTGTGTGTGTGTGTGTGTGTGTGTGTACATCGGTGGTTGTGTAGCCATGACACTGCAGGAGTGCAGGAGGTCCTGGAGAGCCTGTGGATGGAGGAGGGACACTAGGGGACAGCCAGTGACGAGTGTGTGTGTGTTAGTGTAATCAGTTGGAGCTGAGATGTGACACATCGATGGTGTTGCAGCCATGACACTGCAGGAGGTCCTGGAGAACCTGTGGATGGAGGAGGGACACTAGGGGACAACCAGTGACGAATGTATGTGTGTGTTTGTGTAATGGGTTGGAGTTGAGATGTGACACGTCGATGGTGTTGCAGCCATGACACTGCGGGAGTGCGGGAGGTCCTGGAGAGCCTGTGGATGGAGGAGGGACACTAGGGGACAGCCAGGAATGTGGAGCAGGACCTTACAGTGCAGCTGCATCTCAGAATGGCCCTTCCAAGAGAAGGGAGGCTGGGGCACGGTCCACTGACAAGCTCCCTTCTCCAGGGCTGAGGGAGCCCTGCAGGCACACTTTCGGGCTGCACCTTTGCTCAGCAAGCTCTACTTGGAAGCAGGTTCTGAGGCAGGAAAGAGAAATGGCCAGTTGCACCACTGTGTCATAGCACCATAATTTACAGTAGCCAAGATCTGGAAGCAGCCCAGGTTTCCATCAGATGAGTGGATAAAAAAGCTGTGGTACATTTACACCATGGAATACTATGCGGCAATAAAAAAGGATCTCTTACCTTTTGGGACAGTATGAATGGACCTGGAGAGCATTATGCTAAGTGAAATAAGCCAGTCAGAGAAAGACAAATACCATATGTGGAATCTAATGAACAAATGAGCAAAATAGTAAAACAGCCAGTGCTCTAGGGGTACCTGAGTAGGGCACATGAGGCTGTCAAGGTGGGGTTCCTGGCTTACCACACCCCAGATAAGCTGGGGCTATAGGTATTACCAGGGACTAAATCAAATGCTATTTGTATTTTATGCTCAAACCAACAATGGAAGCTTATTCAGTGTTTGCTTATCAGGAAGGAGCCTGGAGCCTTGCTTGTTCTGTAAGTTCCTGCATGGCCTAGGAGGCCTGAGAGTTTTGTTTGAATGGAACTCATACCAGGGGCCTCTGTTCTCAAAACAAGCGGACTTGACTGACCCTCTCCACGAGGTGCAGCTTCACAGCGAGGCCTCGCTCGCCTTGTGCCTTCGCCTTGAAGTAGAACCCACATCAAGTGTTCTGTGAGCTATTGGGGAAATGGCTGCTGTGGCATCAGCAGGGTTTTTTCATCTTGCAGGTTTGATGCCCCTTCATGGAATCAAACATAAGCTTAGATACATCGACCTGCACAGCAACTGCATAGACAGCATCCACCACCTGCTCCAGTGCATGGTGGGCTTGCACTTCCTGACAAACCTGGTTTTGGAGAAGAATGGCGAGGATAACCCTGTCTGTCGGGTGCCGGGTAGGACCCTCCAATTCACTGCACTTTGTAATGGTGTTCACAGCAGCTGGTGCTTAGAACTTGCTTTTATTTGTCTTAAGCTTTTCAGCATTTTATTATGTATTTGGAAAAACATAATTGCAAAAGAAAATATTTTTTTAGACAAACTAAGTTGCTATTAAAAGAATAACACAGTGAATAAATTAGTGACTCTGTTAAACAGTTTTAAATTTGACTAGAGGCCTGGTGCACGAAATTCGTGTGGGGGTGGAGGGTGGTCCCTTAGCCCGGCCTGCACCCTCTTGCAATCTGGGACCGCTGGTTCCTGACTGCTGGCCGGCCTGCCTGATCACCCCTAACCACTCTCCTGCCTGCCTGATTGCCCCTAACCATTCTGCCTGCCTGGCTGATCGCCCCTAACCACTCGCCTGCCTGCCTGATTGCCCCTAACTGCTCACCTGCCTGATCGCCCCTAACCGCCTCTGCCTCAGCCCCTGCCACCGTGGCTTTGTCTGGAAGGACATCGGAAGGTCATTAAACTCTCCTGTCTAATTAGCATATTACGCTTTTATTATTATAGATAAGTGAGTGCCTCAGAATTAAATTATCATTGTGAGATATTCTTAGAGTGTAACTCTAGGCAGTTGTAGGTACCTCTGGTAGCTGACAAATTCAGTTGATTCTCCAAGTAATTAACTTCTTTAATGCATGAGTTTTCATTTTGAATATGTCTCCAGGGTACCAAGCAATTATGCTGCAGACCCTGCCACAGCTTCGAATCCTGGACTGCAAGAACATATTTGGTGAGCCGGTAGACCTGTCACAGATAAACTCCTCAAGTCTGCAGTGCTTCGAAGGTCTTTTGGATAATTTGGTTTCATCTGATTCTCCCCTAAATATCAGTGAAGATGAGGTATGGTATTGGGTTTTCCCTAATACAAAGATGCCTTCAGCTTGTCCTTCATCAGCGCACATGTTGAGGGTCTGGTGGTGTCTGTCCTAGATCGCTGACGGCCTGCCGGTGGTGACGGCCCCCACGGGTGATGACATGGCCCCCCTGGACCCGTTTGCAAGTCCTCCGACTGACACGGGGCTGCCGTCTTTCATGTCCGTGTGCCCACCTTCTGAGCCAGAGAAGGATAATCATGATAGCGATTTTCAGAATGAGATGAAACTTCAGAAATTAGATGATCAGTTTTTACAGCTTCTCAATGAAGTAACTATTTTTCCTATTTTACTAAGTCCTGTGTTTGTTGAAGAAATAGTTCAAAAAATGTAAAGTGAAAATTGGTTCAAGCGGACATCAGAAACACTGTACTGCATTTGTGCATGTGTCTGTGTGTGTGTCTGTCAGTTCTTGTCTTTTCCAGAAGTGGGATTGTTACAGTCCCCGGGGCGGGAACAGTGATGTACTTTCCCCTCATTTCCTCGTCCTCCTCTAGACCTTCTACTGTGATTTCTGTTGTGCTTCCCCTATTTCCACCTGCTCCCCTATTACTTCAAACTCTCTCTGCACCTGCCTGTGAACAGGGGGGATTGGGAGTCACTTTTGACCTCTTCTGTCATCTCTTCAGTTGTTTGATGGTCAAAACCACTTCTGGAACCCACAGCTGAATCCAAATTAATTCATAGATTTCCTCCTTCGACTCTTTACAGTAGACCTTCCCCAAATGAATCTCTACTTCCCTGAGTTACTCATTCGACTTTGCCCCTTACACTGCTGTTCAGGGTGAGCTACAGTCCTGGACTCGCTGCTGTCGGGGTCCCGGCCTCCCCCGAAAGGCGAGGCTGTTAGTCAAATGTCAGTTTGACCTCAAAATTTGTAATTTTAATACTTAATTATTTTCTGAAGCTGGGGTGGGGGTGGGAAGCAGACAACGCTTAGGGGATGTTTCCGGTCGGTGGGTTTTTAATAATCCTGAACTATTGTCGTAGCTGTGGTACCAGCAGTGCCAGATAAACAAGGCCCCCGTAGGTGAGTGGGGGAGAGAGAGTGAGGCTGCCAGGGTTCCTCGTGCCGGAGCGCAGATTGGGTTCCTTTGGGGCCGCAGAGGAGGTGGTGATAGGGCTGGGCTGCAGCGCTGGCCTGGCGTGCTTTGCTGCTGTTGACATACTTCTGGGCCTCCGTCTCCTCAGGTTTCCTGCCCATCTTTTCTCGTGGCCGACTCTTCGACCAGCGTCAGAACTTAGATTTCAGCTGAACTTAAACATGAAGCGCACTTGGCAGCTTCTCTTGCACTCGCACATCTTTCTCACGATGGCCCGGTCCAGTAGGTAGGGTCACGCTCACTGTCCTGTTCCCTAGAGCGGAAACCGGGAGACCAGAGTGTCCTCTGTAGGGGGGCCATTGAGCCTCGTGCCTGATGACCTGGAAATCAGTGTGGGCATGACTGTCCCTACTTTGTTTTCACTGCTATGTCGTGGTCCACTGTACGATATACCAGCGTTTATTTGTCATTGTCCTCCTGAGGTTCCGCCAGATTAGCTCCACGTCTGTGGCCGTTGCTGATAAGTCTGTGTGTGAACTTAGGTCTTCCCTTCCCTTCCGTGAACAGCTGGAAGCGGAATGTCTGGAGTGGGGCTGGGTGTGTGCTCAGTTACACGGGACACTGCCAGAGCCTCTGGGTGCCAGTGCACGCTGTCCCGCCAGCAGTGCCCAAGGGGCTGTGTCGCTGTCTCCGCCCAGTCCTGACCGCCCCCCTCAGTTCCCCTTGCCCCCCCCGCCACACACACACTGTGCTGTTAGCACTGACCTCATTGCAGCCACTCTGCTGGCTGTGTTCTGGTGTGCACTGTGCTTGAATTTGCATGTCACTAATGGTCGGCAGGGCTGAGCACTTTCCATGGGCTTACTGAGTAGTCATAAATCTTTTGTGAAGTGTCTGTTCAAACTTTTTGCCCATATTTTATTGAGTTGCTAGTTTATTACTGGGTTATAAGAATTCCTTCGAGTCTCCCTGTGATGGGGCAGTGCAGCTCCAGCCCACGCTATCTCTGTTTGGGAAGGGAGAGAAAGCAGTAGCTGGCATCCCCGAAGCCTCTCCAGGTGAGCGTGCTGGAGAGGCGGGAAGGGCTCCATGTGGCCAGCCACACACACACACACACACACACACACACAAGAATTCATTCTATATCCTGAATTCTAATGTCAGATATTGGTCATGTATTTGTCAAATATTTGTGGGTATTTTCTCACAAATTGTATCATTTTTTCTTTGATGGTTATTGCATTCAGTGCATTTTAAAATTCTTGGGTATCCCCAAGTCACCCAAGTCATGATGACATTGTCCTGTGTTACTCTCCAAAAAGCTGAGGTCTGTGCGTGTGGGAAGCAGTCGGAGTCCATGCCTCTCTGTGGGTGGGCAGTTTTCCCAGCACCACTTGTGGGAAAGGCTGTTCTTTCCTCCCCTGGGTGGTTTTGATGCACCGGAGGGTCACAGGTTCAATTTCTAGGCAAGAGCATGTACCTGGGTCGCAGATTCCATACTACCCTGGTCGGGCACGTACAGGAGGCAACCAATTGGTGTGTCTCTCTCACATCATGTTTCTCTCTCTCCCTCTCCCCCCTCCCTTCCACTCTCTCTAAAAATCAGTGAAAAAAAATATCTTCGGTGAGGATTAACCAAGCAAAAATAAATACATAAAATAAAAAATTATATGACCTTATAAATTATAGAATCTATTTCTGGTCCCTTTTATGAGTCTGGTAATGTAAGTCTTACAATTCTTTCTTTTTATTCCCCAAATTATGTTGGGTATTCTATGTTCCTTGCATTTCTTTAAGCTTCAGAATCAGCTTGTCTGTTTCTGAAAAATTTATATCTTAATATTGAGTTGTAAATTTGTGAACTTATCTCTGTTATTTAGGTCTGTTTCATTGTTCTCAGCAGTAGTTTTCAACATACAAGTTTTACACATCTGTATAAAATTTTGTATTAAATTTTGTTTTATAATTGTTTGTAAACTGAACAACTTTTGTAGTTTTGTGTCCCACTTGATTGCTGCTTGTACGTAAAAGTGTGGTTGATTTTTGTGTACATGACTTGTGTCCTGTCACCTTGCTGAATGTATTAGTCTAGTCCTTGTTCTATGTCTTGCTGATGATTTTCTACATAAACAATCATCCACAGACTTCTTCCTTCTTCCCTGATCTCTGTGCTGCTCCTTTTGCTTTATTGCAACGGCTGAGGTCTCCAGTGCAGTGCTGACCGAAATGGTGAGGTGGGCGCCTCCTGGCCCAGAGTGCTCTCTATGTGACCATGAAGTGTGATGCTAGTGGTACGTTGTTCATAAATGTCCTGTATCAAATCCTTTACTTCTGTTCTGCATTTTCTGATGGTGTTGAATTTTTTTTCATCAAATGTTTTTGCATCTATTGAAATAATCTTGATTTTTTTACTCTTTATTAAGCGTGCCGGGAGCGCTATCGCGCTCCTCCTGCAGTGTCACTATTAGATGCTAGTAGTTCACTCTTTATTGACAGATGGCACCTAAGTGCAGATTACTTATGATGCCGAATGTTTGTAGTTCTAAAATTGACCACTGGCATTTATCTGCCTAATTTTTTACAGGTACTACGATTTTATGAAGGTTTTTTTCCTAAACTGCTGTAAAATCAGCAAAAATGCCTTGGCAATTTTAGCATAGTTCCTAGGATATTGGTTGTCACTCAAAGGGTTAATATAATAGGATGAACTACATTGATTAATTTTCAGATGATAAACATTGCATTCTTGATATACTAGTATGCCTCATTTAATCACGATATATTATCTCTTGTATATATTCCTGGATTCAGTTTGCTGGTACTTTATAAGGGTTTTGATGTCTTTGCTCATGAGGGATATTGGTTTATACTTGCATGGTAGGGTCTTTGGTTTTCATGTTTGGGGCAGGCTGCCTAGTAAATGAGGTGAGAACTGTTCCTCCTGCTCTGTGTTCTAAGTGTTTGTAAGACTGGAATTATTTCTCCCCTAATTGTTCAATAGGATTCACCAGTGAAATCACCTGGGCCTGGGAGGTTCTTAATGATGAATTCAATGTTTACATAATTCAAAGGCCACTCTTGGTTTTGTCTTGTTCAGTTTAGCTTGGCTTTTTGTTGATTTCTACAGAAATCAACTTTGTTCATTTTATCTACTTTTTCCCACAATATCAACTTCTACATTTTATTTTTTCTTTTACTTACTTTTAATTTACTCTTCTTTTTCTAGCTTCTTAATGTAAATGCTTATTAGGTTATTGATTTTGGACATGTTCTAACCTAATCATTCAAAGCAGTAAATATTCCTTTAAAGACTGCGTTAGCCACATTCGACAAGTGTCTCATTTACTTCTGTTTTTTCAGAGAGCCCATTCCAGGCTATTTCCACGAGGCTTCTCTGGCCCAGCACGCCTGTCTCGATGGCTGTCATCTGGGCCTCGCGCAGGGTGTGTGTCTGCAGCTGTGGCCTCAGGCTGGGAGCTGCACGGCACCTCAGGGGATTCCTGGCTTCCTCACGGTTTGCAGTTCTGTCGGTTGCATGCAAGATGTTAAACGTCCAACTCTGACTTGGATTTGCCAGTTTCCCTTCAACTTTCTTAATATTTACTCTTGGTTTTCAGCACTTTGGCTGCATTGTGCTTAAGGATGGGTTTCTTCATGTCTGTCCTGCTGACGGTTTGTTTCTCTGAGCATTTTAAACCCAGTGTATGGGAACTTTCGGGCATTATTTCTTCAACTCTTTTTCTGTCCCATTCTCTCTCCTCTCTATTCAGAGTCTACATGCTCTTTGCCGTTGTCCCACAGTTTTCTGAGACTGGACATCTTATTAACTTTCTCCTCGGTATTCTTCACACTGAGTAATGTCCACTGTGCCATCTTCAGGGTCACCGATTCTTTCTTTTGTCACCTCATTCTTCTGTGAAGCTCAGCCAGGGAACTTTTACTTCAGACGTTGTACTTTTCCGATGTGAAATTTCCTCTTTTTAAAAATAATTTCTGTTTCTCTGCTGAGCTTTTTTCTCTCTATTCATGACGAGGATACTTTTTAGGCCACTGAGCACAATCGGGTCTCCCTCCACTGCCTGTCTGTTCTCCTGGGAGTAGTGAGGCTGGCTGCTCCTGGGGTGGGTGCTGCTGGGTCATTCTGGATATTGTGATGTTACACTGTGGAGAGTCGATGTCCCTAGCAGCCTCCAGGGTCCCTGTTTTTGACTTGAACTGTATCACTTTGTCTCTTGGGCTGCTTACTGTTGTCCTTCACTTGCCATCTCTGCGCTGTTCTCTGATTGTATAGACCCCAAAGCCTGACGTTTTTACCTGAGTTTTGGACTTCCACACAGCACTTGCTGGGCTACATCCTCACCCCTGCACAGCGCTCGCTGGGATACATCCTCACCCCTGCACAGCGCTCGCTGTGCTACATCCTCACCCCTGCACAGCGCTCGCTGGCCATATCCTCAGGCTAAAACCACAGAGACGGAAGCACCCCGTCTAGTTATTTTCCCACGTGTCAGTTACTCTAGAATAAGCTTGTATTTGTTCATTTCTCAGGGCCTACAAGTAGTTTTTGTTTATTGTTTTGTTTTTATTTTTCCCAGAGTTTATAATTGTTACCTGAGAGAGTCCACCCATAGGAGCTTACTTGTCCACACCAGAAGCTGATTCCCCATGTTTAATTCCAAGCTTTCTGACTTTACAGACCTTGACCTTGTAAGAGCCCATCATAGTGTAGGACATTTCAAATTTTAGTCTTTTATACCGAATCAAACTTTGTTGGTTTTTTATTCTAGACTTCTAGCTCTTTAATAGATAATGTTCCCGAGAAAGACCTGATACTGAAAAGAGACATGGATATAACTTCTGAAAGTGACTATGGCGGCAACAGAAAAGAATGCAATAGAAAAGTTCCTCGAAGATCGAAAATCCCATATTATTCCAAAACAATTCAGACTATTAAGCACTACAACAAAAACAGCAACACTTCCATAAGGTACTTACTTCCGATTTAGAAATTCAGACAAGGCCCACACAAGTTACTACTACACTTTCTCCTCAAGCTCTCTACTTGCCTAACAGCAGCCGCAGGCTCTCAGCCTTGCCACTCAGACTTGCTCTGTGCATCCGTGTATGTTTATACAGAACCATTCCTTTCTCTGGGATAGAGTGTCCTTCACTTGTGAAAAATATAAATGCTGCACATTCTCTGGGTTATTTTCTGTTTTGTTCTTTGCAGTTACAGTCGTAAAATGAAGCAGCCTTTCTTTAAAGACTTATACATATGTTCCTCTCTGGCGAACTGTAGCCAACTGGAGGAGGTTGAGGAGCCGAGGACTGAGCTGATGCAAGTGAACATCAGTTGCCCAGAGGACACCTACCGGGTAGGGAAAAAGACTCAAGAGAAATGCATGCAAGTGATCTTGGGTTTAAGTTTAAATACAGGTAGTCCCAGAAAAATAGTGCATGTTTTTATTAGCAAAAAGTATTGTGTGTGTTTTTATTGGAGTGATGGAAATTATTTTTCCTTCCTGGTTTCCAGATGTGTGATGTTATTATTTGTGTAATTTTTGAAGATATGGCAATTACACACTTACTTAAATCAGATTCCAGTGAGACTCTGTGTTAAGTTTTCTGTGGAGAAGACGGCCTGTCTAAATGTTCACGTTCTTATTCCCGGCGGTGCTTCCTAACTTCTGGCTCTCAGACACCCACGTGTCTAAGGAAATCTGGGGCTTCGCAGGGAAGTCTGCCCTTAGACGCACCACAGGCGTGCTAATTCAGGGTTTTCAGGACTCTCCCGAAACCCAATTAGGGGTCCGTGGATTCCAGATTAAGAGGCATTTAAAAATTTTAAAATTCTTCAATATTTGCCAGAATCATTCTCATGTTGTTAAGAATTGTTGGTGGACTGATTTATTTATAGCTTTATTAACTTGCCCTTATTTTACTTGTGAAGTTCTGGTTTTGATTGTGATGTCGCTGTTCTTCCAATAATATAATTACTTCTTAAACTGTTTCACACCTTTTGGTTTCCTCCTCTTCTTTTCAAGTACAGAAGCTTGAAATATAATTGAGGAAAATAATAGTCATTGTCATGACAGTGATGGTAGCTAACCTTTCCTGAGTGGTCATTACGTGCCTGGCACGGTCTGTACGCTTCACTTCCGTTAATTTGTTTAACCCTCCCCACAGCCTCTGAATGAGGTGCTGCTATTTCCATATTATAAATGAGAAAATTGAGGCAAGATAATTTTTCCAAGTTCACACAACACTATTATTTTCTTTCAGATACTTGTTGAGCAGCTAGACCAGGAGAGAGAGAAGAGGTGGAAAGCTGAACAAGCTGAAAAGAAGCTCATGGATTATATCGATGAGCTGCATAAGCATGCAAACGAAAAGAAGGACATCCACAGCCTGGCTCTGCTCACCACAGACAGGTGAGGGCGCGGCCCGGCCTGGAGCGTGGCCTCGCAGCGGAACCCTCCATTTCAGCCGGCTGAAGTGAGATCAGAGCCGTGTTGTGGCTACAGCATTAGTGCTTCGGCAGCTTGTTCAGAACAAAGAATGCAGGCCCCGTTCGTTTGGGCTCAGCCAGAGGGGTCAGGTAGATGGATACACCTGCCGAGTGAGGACCAGCAAGTGCTCCTGGAAGGCACAGGCTGCACCCTCCGTCCTGCTGGCCAGGAGGGCCACACCCCGCACAGTGCCTGGAACCAATGGCTCAGCAGAGCTTGCCGGCGAAGGAAGTTCACATACGATGACGTTTCATTCATCCAGGAAGTGTGTTGTGCCTTGTGGCACAGTGTTAGCTTCAGGGGTGGGAGAGGGGCGTGGACTCTGATTTTTAGCCTTTTTTTTTAATCTAGTGAGAGTTTGAAACATACTGCATTCTTCCTCTCCACTGTGACCTTTGATGTTGACTACAGTTTTTCTCTTTAAATGAGTAATATATGCATCTGATTTCTGTTTTAGGTTAAAGGAGATTATTTTTAAAGAGAGAAATTCCAAAGTGCAACTCGAAGTTATGGTTCACAAACTTCAAAATGAAATTAAAAAACTGACCATTGAATTAATTAAAGCGAGAGACCAGCAAGAGGATCACATTCGACACCTGAGAGCCCTGGAGAGAGCGTTAGAGAAGATGGAGCGGCAGAAAGGGCAGCAGCAGACGGCACAGGTATTGCTGTCCCGTCGGGCAGCCTGGCTCCGGCGGAAGCAGCTCTGGTTGTCCGGTAGACTGGAGGCGAGTGAGCTGTGGAGTTACTGAATGAAGGCTCCTGCACTCACAAGGCCATCAGAAGACTTGGTGGACGTGTTGCAGGTTGCTAGGCTGTGTTCCCAGAGCCAGGACGTAAAGGCTCTTTGGGGCAGCTGAAGGGTTGTTGTTTTTTTTAATGAATTTATTGGGGTGACATTGATGAATAACATTCTATAGGTTTCAAGTGTTCAGTTCTATAGTACATCATCTGTATATTTTTCTCTTAATCCCTTCGTCCATTTCACTCAGGCCTGCAACCCCCCTCCCCTCTGACAGCCGCGCCAGTCTGTTCTCTGTCTCTGCGTGTCTGTTTCTCTTTTGATCTCACGGTCCCTCACTTCACACTTTCTAATCTGGATGCGATGAGCAGCAGACAAAGCGAGTGTCGCTGCTGCCAGGGCTGTCCCTGATGTGACCACAGCGTCATCACCTAGGACAGTGGTCGACAAACTGGCTCGTGAGCCACGTGCGGCTCTTTGGCCCCTTGAGTGTGGCTCTTCCACAAAATACCGACTTCTGCGCCTGGGCCACGAAGTTTCAGTTGCACTGTACGTGCGCGCCCACACGTGGTATTTTGTGGAAGAGCCACACTCAAGGGGCCAAAGAGCTGCATGTGGCTCGCAAGCCCCAGTTTGCCAACCATGGACCTAGGACATTTTAAAAGTCAGTTTGGGCACTAGGTTCTATTATTTAGAAGGCACTTTTCCTGGGGAACTGGCAATGGAAGCAGGGAGTTATTGTCTTAAGTACTATAATTGTGTGTTTTCCCCAGATGCGGCTTATCGAAGAGGTAGAGCTCAAGGCGGCGGCTGCCGACCGAGAAATTAACTTACTTCGAACTTCCCTTCAGCAAGAAAAGGAGCAGGTGCAGCAGCTTCACGAGCTTCTTGCACTGAAGGAGCAAGAGCATAGGTAAACGCTGCTGCCGTGGCTCAGTGGTTGAGCTTCGACCTATGAACCAGGAGGTCACAGTTCAATTCTCAGTCAGGGCACGTGCCTGGTTTCGGGCTCGATCAAAATACCGGCTCTTCCACAAAATACCGACTTCTGTGCATGAGCCACGAAGTTTCAATTGCACTGTATGTGCGCGCCCACACGTGGTATTTTGTGGAAGAGCCACACTCAAGGGGCCAAAGAGCTGCATGTGGCTCGCAAGCCCCAGTTTGCCAACCATGGACCTAGGACATTTTAAAAGTCAGTTTGGGCACTAGGTTCTATTATTTAGAAGGCACTTTTCCTGGGGAACTGGCAATGGAAGCAGGGAGTTATTGTCTTAAGTACTATAATTGTGTGTTTTCCCCAGATGCGGCTTATCGAAGAGGTAGAGCTCAAGGCGGCGGCTGCCGACCGAGAAATTAACTTACTTCGAACTTCCCTTCAGCAAGAAAAGGAGCAGGTGCAGCAGCTTCACGAGCTTCTTGCACTGAAGGAGCAAGAGCATAGGTAAACGCTGCTGCCGTGGCTCAGTGGTTGAGCTTCGACCTATGAACCAGGAGGTCACAGTTCAATTCTCAGTCAGGGCACGTGCCTGGTTTCGGGCTCGATCCCCAGTGTGTACAGGAGGCAGCCGATCAATGATTCTTTTTCATCATTACTGTTTCTATCACTCCCTTTCTGAAATCAATAAAAATATATATATTTTTAAAAAGAGCACAGGTAAATGAAAGCGCACCAGGCAGTGGGGACAGTCAAGCAAAGGAAAGAAGCTGCTTGGTTCTTCCTCCTCCCCCTCACCCCTTCCCATCTCCCTCCACAAACAGGAGCCAGGACTGAGCAGTGGGAGGCTAGTTGCAGAGCACATGGGAGGGGCTGCTTGTGTATGTGGTAGGGTCCCCTCCTAGTGCAGTGGCAGCTCACAGGCACAGGTGACTTACTGAGGTGTGGGCACTTCCCTGGAAACTGTTCCTGCATTTCTGCAAATCCAACCTAAAGTTGGTCATTGGCGTGTGCCAAAAACTGTTTTATTGGATCTCCAAGTGACACCACGCTCAGTGGTTCTTTACTCCTGTGGAGCAGCTGCTAATAGACGTTTCCTTCCAAGGGCCAGATAGAAAGGATTCCAGCCCAGCTGGTGGTGCTCAGTGGTTAAGCGTTGACCCAGGAACAATTCCTGGTCAGGGCGCATGCCCAGATTATAGGCTCCATTCCCGGTGGGGGGCGTGCAGGAGGCAGTCGATGTTTCTCATCTGTTTCCATCTCTCTATCCTGCTCTCTTCCTCTCTCTTTAAAAAATCAAAAACATACCAATAAAAAAAGAAAGAAAGAAAGAAAGGGTTCCAGGCTTCGCAGGCCACAGCTAACTGCCTTCCCTGCAGATAGGACTTAAGCCAGTGGGCGTGGCCGTGTTCCTGTAAAACCTTGTTTACAGAAGAGGGTGGCAGGCCAGTGGAGCCCTGGGCCTCAGTGCAGCGCCCTGCTCTGAGTCCCCAGCCATGGGAACACTTTCGGCTGCTTGTCTCCAGCTACCCCCAGCCAATTCTGTGATGTCATGTAGAAATTAAATACTGATGCTTGGGGGGAAATTGGCATCCTATGTATGGGTAGAACAGGTATGAAAGATTGAGGGAAAACAAAAGCAATATATAAATTTGTACTTAGTTTCCTTTACATATCTTTTTTTTTAGCATCTTGTTCTAGTTTAAAGAAACCCAGACTGGAAATAGTGGATTTTGTATTAATGGCTTGGTTTATTCAAGAAAAAATAGTGGTGAACTCAAAGGAATGAGCTCACATTTAAAGAAAAAACTGGCCTTATATCAAAAAAGATTGGTGAATAATTTCACAGTTTAACTGATTTTTTTTTCCTTGACCAACCACTAGTACCAGTCAGGCTGCATTTATTGTATGTCAAAGACTCAGAGCCGAAGGCACAGGGAGGGAGAGCTGCAGGTGCGGCTAGGAGCCCTGGCGCCGTCCAATGGGCCTGAATGTCTTGGGAACTTACACCAGGGCCATGCCTCTGATCCCACCCGCTGAGCACAGTCAAGGAAAACTCATTCTTTCTCTGTCCTGGTACAGTTTCTGTGTTTGAAGGTAGGGAGCTCATCTTAGAGGACAGTTAGGGACTATATAATATTTAATAAACTTTAAGGTTTTTCTTTCCAAGGGAACAGCATTCTGTGATTGTTGTTTGTTTTTCATTCCAGGAAAGAACTTGAAACAAGGGCGTTTTTCAGTGATGCTGAGTTCCAGGAAGCCATAGCCAAGGAAGTGGCAAAAGAAGAGGCAAAGCATGAGCAAGAGATCAAAGGATACCAAGAAAAAATCGACACATTAAATCATCAGTACCTGGATTTGGAGAATGAATTTCGTATTGCTTTAACTCTCGAAGCCAGAAGATTTAAAGATGTAAGAATTGGCATTTAGGTTCTTATTGAAAACAGAACCAGCAGATATGGGGTGATAAGAGGACCCCACTTTAGAGTTGTAGGTCTGTGGACATGTTGGCTATATGGCCTTAAGCAGATCACTTAAATTCCTAGAGTCCCAGCGTCCGCACTGAGATCACCACTACTCTCCCTGCTGTTCCCAAAGCCCAGTCAGATTGTGGTGGTCAGGCGCGGAGCATGGGAACCTGGGTTCTCCCCTGTGGCTCTAGGGCGGGGATTGCAGCCAGACCCCGGCCTCGGCCTCTGCCACGTGCTGAGCACAGCCGTGTTCCGGGTGGCACACAGCAGCACTGAGTGCTATCATTACTTTATTTTGCTAAACCTCTGAGATTCTAAACATGAAAGAATTGCCCTAGCCGGTTTGGCTCAATGGGTAGAGTGTTGGCCTGCGAACGGAAGGTTCCAGGGTTCGATTCCGGTCAAGGGCACATGACCAGGTTCCAGGCTCGATCCCCAGTAGGGGGTATGCAGAAGGCAGCCAATCAATGATTCTCATCATTGATGTTTCTATCTCTTTTTCCCTCTCCCTTCCCCTTTGAAATCAATAAAAAATATATATATTAAAATAAACATGAAAGAAGTTGTTTCCAGAAACAAATATTTTCTAAATATTTGGAGAACTGCTATTTATAATGCAATTTTGAAATATAGGTTAAAGATGGTTTTGAAAGTGTTGCAACTGAGTTAGCAAAGAGCAAGAATGCTCTTGTCTGGGCTCAACGGAAAGAAAACGAGTCTTCCTCTTTAATTAAAGATCTGGCCTGCATGGTGAAGGAGCAAAAGACAAAGCTTGCGGAAGTCTCCAAACTGAAACACGAAACAGCAACAAACATGCAGGTAAGACATTGTAACGCTGTATTCTCCTTCTGTTTGCTATGTCATTTCCCAAATGCCTGCAGTGATTTAGGAAGTGCACAATGTTGAACTTTTCAATAATACTAATTATGTACTTGACATGTTTGAAAAGTAATAGAACTGGGAGGTTAGCTAATTTACCAGAGTGCACTACATACGCCAAGATAGTGTTTAAGCATGATAAGGGAATTAACTAGGAAACTAAGTAGCTAGTATACCGTTGCATAGCGAGAGAAGAAATTGTGACGGTGATGCTCAGATTGTTGAGTTTTGGGAAATAGCATGTGGGTTGCTGGTATTAACTTTTGTAGTAGTGGTTTTTTAGACATACCCACACATAATCTAAATTAATGTCTGTTGTCGCCATTTTAAACATTAGGGATATTTTGCCAAGAGAACTTCCTTTCTGCAAGTGACCTCTAGGCCAGCAGTTGCCAAGCGGTGGTCTGCGGACCACTGGTGGTCCATGAGGTCCGAAAGGTTGGCGACCGCTGTTCTAGGTGACTCATATAAATGCTGAGAAACTAGGAATATTACAGGTGTGGTTGCTCTTAGGGTGTTAGAATAAAATTCAGAGTGTTTGAAGGAGTGGCCTCTTATACTTTGACTTCATTTTCTGACCTACATGTATCTTTAGTTAATAAAACTAAAACTTATTCTGATGTAAAATTGAGGAACATTTACTTGGTATTTGCTTAAATAACATTTTTCTTATGATAAAATGCAAGAAAGTAGGAATAGGAGCATTGAAGTGTAACAGCTGCTTTGCGTTTTCCCATATCTGGGGAGTATACAGAATCAGATCAGCACCCTTGAGCTCCTGATCGAAGACGACAAGCAGAAGAGCATCCAGATCGAGCTGCTCAAGCACGAGAAAGTCCAGCTGATTGCCGAGCTCGCAGCCAAGGAGTCACTAATTTACGGTCTCAGGACAGAGAGAAAAGTGTGGGGACAGGAGCTGGCACAACAGGGTAAAATTCTCAAATGTTAAAGGGAAACTAGCCCATTTTGCTAAAGGAGCAGATCTGTATATAGGAGAGAACAAGGAAGGACTTTCCTGCCCCACGACCCAGGGTCAGGGCCACCTCCCGGAAACAGGAAGTGGCTTATTGTACCAGGCGCTGCTCTGAGTCCTGGTTGGCTTTCCTTCTGGTGGTATAACGGGTTACTTTTCTCACCAGGTCTACCTTTCCCATGCTACTGCTGAATTAAGTTGTTGAAAACATTTCTTTCTCATACAGTAATTTTACATGGTTTCATACGGATGCCGCATTCAGTTCTTTTCTAAACATGTTGCTAACAGCTTGTTACACATGGAGAAATGCTAAATGGCGTGTGGATGAAAACCACCATCGGCTTAGGTTAACCTACCTCAGTCCATTCCACTCGAAATCTGCCCAGCGGAGGTGGCTGTGTAGGGCACCACATTCGCTCCATGGTGCTGGCTTTAACGGAGCATGGCTCACCTGTCATTCTACATGGGATATCACGCGTGGTCTGGCAGTGGGTGTGCATTATCCTGACCAGTTAGATAGGACCGCCTGTCACTTGTTGTCCGATTGTGGCTCAGGGTTTCACACAGCACAGGGCTGATGTGCCTTTTGTTTCTGGCCCTTTCCTCCTCATACTGTGTGCTGTTGCGGATCTCGTTTCTGTAGCCAGCTTTCCTTTGTCCTCATCTGTTACACGCTGTGGAATTCGATGTTCATGAGAGACAAACCCTCCATCTCCTAAGTTTGCCTCCGTGGTGTTTGCTTTCCAGGATCCTGTCTGGCCCAGGACCGCGGGAAACTGGAGGCGCAGATCGAAAGTTTATGCAAAGAGAACGAGTCTCTGCGGAAGACGAACGAGCAAGACAGCGACACGCTGCGGATTAAGTGCAAAATCATAGAGGACCAAACCGAGACCATCGGGAAATTAAAAGCTGTAAGTTTGGCGTTTATTTTGGGAAGACAGCATATGGCAGGTGTGAGAATCTGGATCAGAGTGGAGTCTCCAATAAATGCTTTGTCTGTGCGAGTCCAGCTGTTGTGGAGTTTAAGACAGGTTATCATGTGTTCCTTTTGCAGTACTTTCCCCTTTGCTTTTAAAGGTGATACATGGCATTCATTTATTGACTTGAACTTACATTTACTTAAAGGTTTTATGAAGAATGTTGTTATTGCCCTTTGAAATAACTAGAAACAGTCTTGATGAAGGGTTAGGAACCACAAGAAAATAAACGTTTTATATGTCTAAAATATCCTTTCAAGCATTGCTTAATATCTCTCAATACTGCTCTCACTTCTCAAACTTACGACAAACCTACTCTCTTGTAGGTGAAGGTATATGACTAGATTGCAGGATTCATGCTTGTCCCGAGGCCACCATGTGCCAGTGGTACCCACCTCTTCTTACGTGGGCCCACCTGAGAGAATGCTAACAGAATCACTTATTTCAACGTGTAGAAAATCTCCAGAGAAAGTTTCTGAAGATTGTCCTGAGCACTAAAGCAAACTTAAATTCCAAACTTTTCTTCTTAAAGTGTAAAAATAACTGAAAAGGGAGTTTTCATTTTTTAAATTTTTAAAATATATTTTTTTTGAATGCAGAGAGAGGAAGGGAGAGGAAGAGATAGAAACATCAGTGATGATAGAGAATCACTATTCGGCTGCTTCCTGCACACCCCCTAGTGGGGATCCAACCCACAACCTGGGCATGTCGAACCATGACCTCCTAGTTCAGGGGTGGGCAAACTTTTTGATTCGAGGGCCACAATGGGTTCTTAAACTGGACCAGAGGGCCGGAACAAAAGCATGGATGGAGTGTTTGTGTGAACTAATATAAATTCAGCAGAAAAGTAAACATCATTACATAAAAGGGTACGGTCTTTTTTTTTTTTTTAGTTTTATTCATTTCAAACGGGCCGGATCCGGCCCACGGGCCGTAGTTTGCCCACGGCTGTCCTAGTTCATGGGTTGACACTCAACCACTGAGCCACACCAGCTGGGTGAAAAGGTGTTTTTAAAGAAACTTCTAAATGGGATTATCGCCCTTAAAGTTAGGACCTCAATCTTTAGAGAATTTATAACCACTTAATATTTTATTTTTTTCCTTAGTCATTTTTAAGAAACTTCCTAATTTCATCAAGTACAGAAAATGAAGGACCCTGTTTACTCCCATACTCCCATGTTGCTTTCTCCATAGCTAGATGGGGTATGACTACTTGAATTGTATTCTTTTTTTTTTTTTTTAATATATTTTATTGATTTTTTTACAGAGAGGAAGGGAGCGGGATAGAGAGTTAGAAACATCGATGAGAGAGAAACATTGATTCAGCTGCCTCCTGCACACCCACCTACTGGGGATGTGCCCGCAACCAAGGTACATGCCCTTGCCTGGAATCGAACCTGGGACCCTTCAGTCTGCAGGCCGATGCTCTGTCCACTGAGCCAAACCAGCTAGGGCTGAATTGTATTCTTGACCAATGATACTGGTGTTCTCTCAATTGAAACTTTGGTCTCAGTATATCCAGTATTTCAAATATCTTTCATACATGCCAAGCTTCACTGATAGTTACTGAAATGTTTTAGCAGTAAGCTGTTTTTCTTGTTTTAAAAATCTAGCCAAGCTTATTGTCTTTTGATAAGGTAAATAAGAATCAGGAAGACTAGTTGTTTGCATTTAAATTTCACAAGGCAAAGCAGATGATATTTGGTCTAGTCGGTCATTGTGCTTGTCTTAACCACACAGTCACACTGGTGCCTCCTCGACCTGAGGACATGCAGAGATAGTGGGCAGAGCTTCTTCAGCAGTTAAGTCAACCTAACTGATAACTTAAAGGGGCAATGACTTAAAATGCAAATTTTGGAGTTTGATGTTTACACCTGAGTAGATTCTCTAGTTAGCTTCTGACTATGGAAGTTTGAAACAGAAATTCTTTAAAATGCTGTTTTCTCATGTTATTTTGGTACTTTTCAGTATACATGGAGCACGAGACCCTGGTGCTGCAGTGCTATTCTGATTACTAAGAGGGTTATTTCATAAGAATCTTCCGTGGCTTCTGTGGGTTCTTGATAACGTGTGTGAAGGCTGCCCACACCTAAGTACTTCAGGGAGTCGTGGGAGAAAATGAGCAGTTCTTGGCTTATGCAGCTGTTAGTCAAGACTCCCTGACTACCTTTCTTAGAATCCTTAGCTCTGTCACACCCTGAGGAGCTGCACCACGTTCTGTGTGACACTGAGAATCCGCCCTAAAGTAGACTTGTCCAGCATTTGTTTGCCTCCATCTTCTTCCCAAGAGGAATGAGAGGCAAGTGGGGCAGGGAGAATCGGGGCAAAAATAAGACCCTCTTCCACGCTCACACCCACAGCCCAGTGCTGGTGCGCAGCGGGTCGTGCAGGACCTGCAGACATTGCACATGGCACATGCCTCAGGCGGGTTGACCCTCCTGGTGCCTGACTCACAGCACAGAAGACACAGCAAAAGTCCACCTCAGTCTGGGGGATGTGAGGTCTGTTTGCACGTGACATTTCACTAGTCATGAAATCGGACATTATTTAAAGTGTGTGTGCAGTAGAAATGGTTAATCCCTTGAGCATCAGTCTTGCTGTATCCCTGTCACCCACCTAGAGTTTTCTTTCTTTCTGTCCTGAAAACATATTCTTTCAAATGCAAAATGACATAATTGAATTCCCATTGCACTGCTTTCCCTTCTACTCTCTGTGTAATTAGTAATCACTAACTTCCTGAAATAAAAAGTGTGAGTAGCACAAAAATTTTCCCTCTTAATAGCCCCTAAACAATAGTCCGTATATCTTTTCTAAAACACTCATTGAACTTTGAATTCATTTTTGTAGTTTTTAAAATAATTTAAAATCATACCTATTTAATTAGGAAATGAGACATCTAGGATTAATAAAGTACTTATTTCTTTCTTGAAGTGTTTACAGGAAAGAGAGGAACAAATCAAAATATTACAAGAAAACATCTGTGAAATACAGAAATGTACTCAAGAACAACTTGACGAAAAATCTTCGCAACTGGATGACATAATTGAGAAACTAGAAAGACACAATGAAAGAAAAGCAAAACTAAAACAGCAGTTGCAAGTAAAGGAATTAGAACTTGAAGAAATTAGAAAGGCTTACAGGTATTCTCTGTGTTTCCTGCTAAGAAGTAAACTGTGGCTTAATAACTTGTCTGACCAATTCTGTCTCTAACATTCCTTCTTCTCTTGTCAGTATGCTTAATCAGAAGTGGCATGATAAAGGGGAGCTCCTCAGTAATCTGGAAATGCAAGTAAAGGAAGTGAAGGAGAAATTTGAGAACAAGGAAAGGAAGCTGAAAGCGGAAAGAGACAAAAGTGTTGAACTACGAAAGTAAGCATGAAGCCCTCAGGCACTGGGGCCGTCTGGGAATGGGGAGGGGCAAGATGGGGGGAAGCTAAAAACATGTTGGATGAAGTTATTTGCCAAATATTGGATTTCCATTCCATTATTTCATTTATAAAGGGAAGGTACTAGTTCCCTCTTCCGTGCTGTGAGCTGTAAGTCTGTGTCTGTTGTCTGTGTTTGTGGGGAAGTGCAGTACCTGACACATGGTAATTACTGTACGTATGTTTGTCTTATTACTGCGCTTACTGTTTTCATGCTTCTTCCTGGAAGCAGCCAGTATGCTTGGCTGTTCGTATGGCTCTCTGAGGAGTACGTTGTCTGGGGCTCTGGGCCAGAGAAGCCGGAGCCCATTTCAAAGGGGGAGGAAGCCATTCCTGTGGCCACTTGTGTGGGTTTTGTAAGTGCTCTAGAGGAAATGCAGGTTTTACCTTGTAAACTCTGTAACTAGGCCTATTACAATAGTTTATAAAGTTGACAGCCTTGAAACTGTGTAACGCAGTTTCGGGATCAGTCTCCTGTCGAAATAGAGAGGTGTGGACAGCATGCACAGACTCCCATGGTGGTGGCTCCATTCCAGGTGTCCTGGTGTTTCCACTCCCTAAGATTAGGGGAGGTGTTATCCTCTGCAGAAAGGTTTGACGGCAGCATCTGCTGATAGCCCTGCTGCACTGTGCTTTCACAGCTACCCAGGGTCCTCGGCTCAGAACCAATAGCAGAAAAGTGTTCATTGTGGACTTTTTAAACAAAGTCACTCATATCCTATATAATAAAAGGCTAATATGCAAATTGTCCCCACGGACAGGAGTTCGACTGACGGGGAGTTAGATGTGCGCTGACCACCAGGGAGCAGTGGCAGCAGGCAGCCGGGGGAAGGGAGGCCCTTGCCGGCAACCAGCAGCCGCTAGGGACCCTACCCGTGCATGAATTTCATGCACTGGGTCTCTAGTTTAATAAAAAGGAAGTAGTGTTCTCCCTCTAAGAAACTTTTAGTACTAAACTTTTAACACTAATGTGTTTTTTAACCTAGGGTTTTATCTGTTAAGCATTAGCACAGGGAAATCAGACACATCCTCCTATGTAATAAAACCTTAATATGCAAATCGACCAAATGGTGGAACGACCAGTCTCTATGATGCGCACTGACCACCAGGGGGCAGACACTCAATGCAGGAGCTGCCCCCTGATGGTCAGTACGCTCTCACACGGAAGTGCCGCTCAGCCAGAAGCCAGGCTCATGGCTGGCAAGTGCAGCGGCCTCCGCTGCAGGTGGGCGGTAAGGAGCGAGGGATCCCGGACGGCGAGAGGGATGTCCGATTGCTGACTTAGGCCCGATCCCTCCCTCCCCATAGGGGGGCCTAAACCGGCAGTCAGACATCCCCCAAGGGGTTCTGGACTGCAAGAGGGCACAGGCCGGGCTGAGGGACCTCCCCACCCCAGTGCACGAATTTCATGTACCAGGCCTCTAGTCTATGTATAAATGTAAACCTGCCTATAGTATACACTTCAGATTTGTGTCACACTGCACATGCCTGGGGGAGGTGGCATCCCTGGGAAGGTACTTCCAGTCCCCTCCCACAGACTCAGGCTGGAGACCAGAGCAGGAGCTCAGAGGCGAGACTCACAAATGGGTGTGAGGTTCCCTGCCCTGTGCTGCTGGCTGACTCTGCTGGAGGGCGAGCTGCCTGTAGCTGGAGTTCCTGAGATGGAGCACCCTTTGCTACTTAGTGGAGTTATGTGTCCATTGAAATATGAATGTGAGAGCTGCCATCTCAGAAGAAAAAGCATCCTAACTTTTATACACACCAAGATGTGGGTCTTGTTTTCTGTTTCAGGGATGCTGTGGAAAAGCTTTATTGTATGGATGATGCCTTTAAAAAACAAGTGGAGGCAATTGTTGAAGCTCATCACGCTGAAATAATACATCTGGAAAATGAAAAGCAAAAATATATTGATTCTGCAAATTTAAAGGTACTATCAGTAAATTGCACTTGATTATCATTATTGAATTGTTACAGCTAAATAAATTGAGACTGATAAAGAGAAAAGGCAGCATGATTTAATGACCAAATAGATATGAAGAATGTTGCCAAAACTATCATGAAGCCAGGCCAAATGTTGGCAGGTTGTAGAATATAATTGCAATGAAACCGAGGTCATGAGTGATACTGGTGTGGACCTGCTCTGTGATCTCTGCGTGAAAGTCACCATCTCCCTAACCAGCCTCAGAGCGAAGCCCCTTTGCTTGTACACGAGCAGGGTGAGGAGTGAGTATGTTAAACACAAGCCATCATTCCCTTGGGAAAGTTCTCAAAAAGTAGTATTTTATCATTAATTAGGGCTCAGGACTATCACATTTGTCATATTACTATCATTGACAAAGGAGCTTTTAATAATAGACATGCTTAAGCTTTCCCCTGAAATTTTCATTCACAGTTTGGGGTCAGACCCTAGTGTTTTTCAAACTCAACAGGTGATTCTAATGTG